TTTTCCCCTCCACATTTTGAATCAACATCACGCGTTCAGAGTATTTGGCTGCTATGCATTACCACGTGACGAGAAGCCACTTCGTCCGAGCTTATTATGAATTGTGATAACCAGGTCGTTTCTGAAAAAAGAGCTGCAGCTCATTGGGGCTATAGATGGTAAGATACAAAAAAATTGTGTTCATAGTTTCGCTGCTCAAGCCAGACCTCGTCCTCTCATAAGCGTTTGATTTGAATCACGTCCGTAACCTGCGCGTGTTCTCCAATGCACCTGGCTGCCTCCGACGTCCCCTTTCCTCAATGCGATTCCAATTCGCAGTGAAATCCAATTTAAAACATAAACCAGCCCGGGGCATCTGCTTCATCAAACGACGAGCAGCCGATAACGCAATTGACGTTCTCCGCGTATCGCTAAGAACGTCCTGTCCTGTTGTTGTTATTATTATTATTGTTTTTTATTGTTTTGATGCTTTTATAAGGCGCAGCCTCACTTAGTCTCATGACGCTTTGCTCAAGAGGCTCCTGCACTGTGACGCTCGGCCCAATTGCACGCCTGACAGGCCACAGACGCTCGGACCGATGTTAGGAACCGGGCCGCACAGCAGGAGATGAGAGCGGTGAGTCCGCGCGTGGTCCGCCCCCGTTATTTTATTATTCACCACTTCTGTCCGCGCCTCTTCCCCGCACTGCGAACTTGCCTTAGTCACAGTGTTGGTGAGCCCACAAGCTCTAACCCCTAGTAGCCAACATGAGTAAGAAACAAACGTAGCTGGAGAGCTTCTTTGAAAAGGGGGAAAGACCCAATGATGACCTCCCCCCCCCCGCCCCCCGGTCCGTTAAAAAATTGTCTTCCACGAAACCTGGCCCTGGTGCCACCCAGATGAACTTACCGCTGCTCTAGTGCATAAAAGCCTCTTCACGTTGTGGTTGGTGACCATACTTCACCACGTTGGCCAGTACAATTTGGTCAAGGTTGTGAAGGAGGACCGCTTAAAATAGTATTCGCCACCCGAGCATCTGTCTGCACATGGACAGACGCTGGGACAAAAAAAAAGTTTTGCCTTTTCTGAGACTCATCAGCGGTGTGTCGCCCGTTAAACGCAAAATCCCACCGTGTGTGCCCTTTGGACACTTTTAGCAGGGCACGCGCAAAAATTGTACGCAATTGTTACTAGCCGTCTTGGCAGTTTGCGCGGCTGTAAAAGTAAACATTGCAAATGTGTCACGGATATGACATCGGTTTCGTGGTTAAATTAACCTTTCAGTCTGGCCACCCAGATGAACTTACATTTTTATCAACCAATTTTTCCAGGAGTTTCTCACCAACCTGCGTTGACAGGCATGGTGAACATTTACACCATTGGAACCTCATTTGCCAGTAGCAAAATATGATAATTGGTATTTTACCCTTTTATCTGGCAACAAAACTGACTACTGGCAAATGAGGTCCCAATGGTGTAAATGCTTACCCCGAGCTCTCATACTCTGATGGTGCATTGTCTTTGAGTTGTGCGCCTTTTAGCGTCATCTGGTCCAACCCCATGTGAGACTGGACTCTAAAGAAAGCTGTCTCGGGTGTGGACCAATCAATTTCAAGGACAGTGCATACATTATCAGAGTTGTTTTTTGTTTGCATTCCGACTGCAGGTATTGTGGTCAATGCAAACATGACTCCTTGTAAAAAAAGGTGTCAGTTTTGTTGCCAAATAAAAGGTTAAAAAAACAATTATCAGGCATGGTGAAATATGGTCAACAATGCGTCCCCCCGCCTCCCTACCTCCGGAACCCCCCATAACCAAGACAGAGTGGCCTATGCCATCATCCAGCAGTTGAATTACTCAAGAGTTGTAAATTATAATCGTTTTTGCTTAACATTTATTGCAACGGCCAGTCGGTCAAGGCGTGTCCGCGAGTGTTTATTTCGTGCTGGTTGAGATTGAATCACCGGTTCCGAAGACCCAGTCAGTCGATGGGCGGTTGTTTAATTTTGTGATGAGAAATTACGGATGAAAATATATTAGACCAAAAGAGGATTGTTGGGTTGTGTATTCGATGGCTGTCAGTGAACGGAAATCACCGCTACCACAAGAACAATTACCAACACCATCACCACAATACCATCACCACCACCACCACAACTACAATCACCACTACCATCACCACCACCACCACAACTACAATCACCACTACCATCACCACCACAACTATAATCACCACTACCATCACCACCACAACTACAATCACCACTACCATCACCACCACCACAACTACAATCACCACTACCATCACCACCACCACAACTACAATCACCACTACCATCACCACCACAACTACAATCACCACTACCATCACCACCACCACTCGACTAGGACTGCCCACTAATACCACGACCATCACCACCACCACTTCCATCTCCACCATCACCGCAACGACAATCATCACCACCACCGCCACCGCCGCTAGACTTTGACGAGACGAAATTGGCTCGGTCTGAACGAAGATGGGGACTTCGATAACGGAGTAACTTTATTACAGACGGCAGTGCACTAAGGCAGACCAAACGTGCTGTGCTTGACCACGTGCTTTTCCTGGTGAAGATTTAGCGAGGTCACAGATCGGCCAACCTGATGATGCTGCAGTGGGGGGCTTTGAGTACCTCTTGCCCCCCCCCCCAACACCAACACCAACAGTGACCGGCTAAGAGTGTGTGTGACTAAATGCGTTGACCGCGTGAGTCAAACTGGACTATAGGATCATGTGCACCTCTCTTCCAGCACCACGTGCACCTTTTAGCCCCGCCTCCTCCCCCCCCCAATACGATCCATTCATTTCGATTTAAAGCTTTCGTGACTGCAGGGATTCATCTTCTTGGTTCTTTCGGTAAAGTCACGTAGAAGGGAAGTAATAAAATAATAAAAATAAAACATAATAAAATCAAATAATTCTCACGACGTTTCGGCTACAACGCAAGCAGCCGTCTTCAGGTGAAGAATGAGACACTGCCAAGCTATGAGCTAGGAGCTAGGAGCTTATATAAGCTAGGAGCTAGGAGCTTATATATAAGCTCCTAGCTTGGCAGTGTCTCATTCTTCACCTGAAGACGGCTGCTTGCGTTGTAGCCGAAACGTCGTGAGAATTATTTGATTTTATTATGTTTTATTTTTATTATTTTATTACTTCCCTTCTACGTGACTTTACCGAAAGAACCAAGAAGATGGATCCATTCATTGGCTACCACACTCAGATAAGCTCCTCCCCCCTCCTCCTCCCCCTCTTAACTTGTATTTAAGAACTTGTATCTTGGAATCTTTGCCTCACTTGAGACAGTGAATCTAGCTGTGACGGTCCCACCTGATGACGGAGACTTGTGTTGCCTCCGAAACGTCGTGATTCATTATTTTATTTTATTTCTATTATTACTTTTATTAATTTTAAATTTTATTTTTTTACCTACGTGACTTTACCGACAAAAACCTAACAGTATGAATCCTTGCAGTTACGAAAGCTTCAAATCTCGAATGGACTATAGGAATGACTTAGACTCGACTAAATATCGATATTAAAGCTTTCGTGACTGCAGGGATTCATATTCTTAGGTTTTTTCAGTAAAGTCACGTAGGTAAAAAATAAAAATAAAATTAATAAAAGTAAAATAAAAAAATAAAAAATTTACCCGTAAAAACAAAGTTTTTCACTATAAATCCTTTATATGCGTGGCATCGGGGTGGCTAGAGTCCTCTCGTCCTCTGGCTTGAGATGGCTGCCACCTATGGGTCAGATGATTGTGTGCCAGCATTAACCAATTGGTAAATAAATATTTTTAAAAAATTCTCTAAACAGTGTAAAATTTTGGAAAAAATTTTCACGAAAATTAATTGTCACGCACAACGAGTCTGTGTGCAAAATGTCAGCTCGATTGGATCACGGGAAGTGGGTTAAAAACGACCGAAAGATTTGCACGGTCCTAAGCAAGCAAGCAAGCGAACTTAATATAAAGGATTTAAAAATAAAAAATATACAATTTTATTTTTATTTTACTTTTATTAATTTTTATTTTTATTTTTTACCGACGTGACTTTACCGAAAAAAAACCTCAAAATCGTTATTTGTCCTTGGCCCGCACCTCCGATGAGTGCGGTTGGCTACGTACGGTGTAAAAGAAGTTCAACACACACACACACAGACCGGGCGTACGGTGTGTAAACATCAGCACTGTGGAGACAAAGGCAGCCGGACGTGGCATTTGCCACCCATACACCTCGTGTACCGTGCCGGCCTTCATAGGTGTTCACTAAGAGCACTTTGCCCCCAGTCTGTTAAAGGCTATACGGGGGACCTTTGTTTTTGGCCGTGCACACGCGTGTATGATTACGCTGCTGCGCCACGAACCCAGTGACCCGAGTTCGATTCCCGCTAGCGGTCGACACCAGTGACAAATCGTGTGAACTGGGCCCTCCCCTAGGTCGACTCAGCCTCAAATGAGTACCTGGTGCGCTGTGTAAACATCGCCACTGGGGAGACAAAGGCGGCCGGGCGTGGTGTTGGCCATCCCATCCCCTCTCTCGTGTACCGTGCCGGCCTTCTTGGGTGTTCAGGAAGAGCACTTGCCCCCGCAGTATTGAATAAGGGGACCGACCATAAATGACGTCACGCGATGTTGGACGATTTTTGACCCCCACGGCGTCACAAAAAGTCAGACCCCCCCCCCTCAAATATGACGTCACAAAGCTCTGCCCCCCCCCCCCCCGCGAAAAAAAAAATGCTTCAAATCGCTTTAAACTATTGTCATTGTAGTGCGTATTTAACGTGGCGCTGCACTCTGATGTTGTAGGAGAAAACATTTATTAAAAAGCCGATTTAATTAAGATAGAACGTGTTGTCTATATTTATTAAAATTCGTGCATTTTGATGTGACGTCACATTTCTCACCCACCCCCCTCTCCCCCTCGTCACACATCGTCACAAATGTCTGAACCCCCGCCCCCCTCCTCCCCCACCTAGGTGCGTGACGTCATTTATGGACGACCCTCTAAGTCCTCGTCAGCTCCGAGGGTCGGAGTTCAGCACTTCACTTCGATCGCGGTGGGTGGGATTATTTGACGCATCATTTCACGACCGCGGGATGGGGGAAAAATGCCCCCCAATAAAAAAAATAAGCGCTGCATTCGTAAAAGAATGAGCGCGCCATGTGACTGGGCGTGACAATTCACCGCTCAAAAAAAAAAAAACTTACACCCGGTCCAGGATTATTTAAGTATCAACTTGCCCGTTCCATTGTCGGCGGGTTTACATTGGCCCTCCCCGCGAGCGTTTTGTCCTCACGGCAATTGCTCATCGATTCAAAAATGGTCCCCGTAAGTGCAATTTAATTCCAGCAGAAATTGACAGGTATTTAATATTTGAAGTTAAAATCAACGGAATTTATTGATTCCCCCCCCCCCCCGCACGAACCCCACTGCCCTCACCCCCGCTCCACTTCCCCTTAATTATCAATTGCAGAATATGACTACGGTACTTTACTAATTGTATTGATAAGGAGAGGGCACGGGGCTTGATGCCATTTTATTTTTAGGAACAGACAATTACACTCTGTTAGGATTTACCCTTGGGAGTACAATACCATGTGTATCTGAGTCTGCCAGTGTGTGTGCGTCTGTCTGCGTGTGTGCGTGCATGTATCTGCGTTATAGTGAGCGATAGTTTAGTGGTTAGCGCTACGCTGCGCTACGAATCTGGCTACCCGCGTTCGATTCCCGCTCACAGACAACACCAGTGACGATTATCTGAACCGGTCCTGGGCCTCCCCGAGGTCGATTCAACCTGGTGGCGTGTGTAAACATCGCCACTGGGGAGACAAAGGCGGCCGGGCGTGGTGTTGGCCACCCACCCCCTCGTGTGCCGTGCCGGCCTTCATAGGTGCTGCTTGCTAACAGCACTTGCCCCAACAGTCTGTTAAGGCTACACGGAAGATCTTTGTTTTGGTGTGTGCGTGTGAACTCACTCGAGCGGGTGTATATGTGCACACACGTCCCATATTTGGATGTGTTTATGTAAAAATAATGGCTCGGTTTTGTTCCCGAGGCGGAGTCTGTGTGTGTGTGTCTGCGTGCCATTTAGGTTTTAGTTATTTGCGTGTGCGTGTGTGCACGGTTGTGCCCCCGTTGAACGGTGGCGCAGCAGTTAGCACGCTGTGCCTAAGAACGTGGCCAACTCACGAGTTCGATTCCCGCTCGCGGACAACAACGCCATTCACGATTATCTAAACCGGTCCTGTGCCTCCCCTAGGCTGACTCGGCCTCAAACGAGCACCCGGTGCAATGTGTAAACCTCATGGCCACTGGGGATACAAAGGTGGCCGGGCGTGGTGCTGGAGACTCACTCCCTCGTGTGCCACTCTGCCCGGGCCATCATAGGTTGCTACTCGTTTAACAACACTTGCCCCAGCAATTCTAGATTTGAAGCTTTCGTGACTACAAGGATTCATACTCTTAGTTCTTTCGGTAAAGTCACGTGGGTAAAAAATGAAATAAAAATTAATAACAATAAAACAATAAAATCACGACGTTTCGAAGGCAACACAAGTCTCCGTCATCAGGTGGGACCGTCACAGCCAGATTTGCTGCATCAATGCAGCGAATCTGGCTGTGACGGTCCCACTTGCCCCAACAGTCTTTTAAAGGGGGGGGATCTTTGTCTTTGTGTGTATGCGAGGTGCTACAATCCCAGTGGCCCGTGATTGGTTTACAGTAGATCACACACGTGGTGCTTCTATGCAGTGCCCACAACAATGGAATCTGAGCCTTGACCTGGGCCTCTTGTGAGGTCCACTGCGGTGCAGTATTGGGTCAGTGCGCTTCGAGCCCGGCGACCCGAGCACGATACGTGGACACAAGCAACGTCAGTGGAGAATAAGTAATCTTTTTTTAAAAACTTTCTTAAAAACACGCTTTTATGAAATGTACTAGTAATTTCGATTTAAAGCTTTCGTGACTGCAGGGATTCATCTTCTTGGTTCTTTCGGTAAAGTCACGTAGAAGGGAAATAATAAAATAATACAAATAAAACATTATAAAATTTCGATTTAAAGCTTTCGTGACTGCAGGGATTCATCTTCTTGGTTCTTTCGGTAAAGTCACGTAGAAGGGAAATAATTAAAAAAATAAAAATAAAACAATAAAATAATTCTCACGACGTTTCGGCCACAACGCAAGCAGCCGTCCTCAGGTAGAGAACAGGTCTGTCGGGAAGACAGCGTCTGCGTTGTGGCCGAAACGTCGTGAGAATTATTTTATAATGTTTTATTTTTATTATTTTATTATTTCCCTTCTACGTGACTTTACCGAAAGAACCAAGAAGACCTACTAGTAATGGCAGAACTCCACGACTCCAGGAAGTGGCCCCGAAGCTTGCCACAACGTCAGGGACAGTGGCCGATTACAGCCAACATCAGTTGAGCGTGGACAATTAGACCCAAGCCGAAACATAACATATACAAAATAATGTTTAAAAAATGTATTTTCTTTATGATAGAATATAGTATTGTCATCAGTATGACATAAGCACAGCAAGTTTGCAGTCGATACCATATTGGGAAGTGGGTTAAAATTTAGTTACAAGATTTGAGGATATAACGACAACAACAACAACGACAACAACAGGCAGAGTGAGTTAAAAGAAAGCGTTTAAAATATGAACCGGTCCTGGGCCTCCCATAGGTCACCTCAGCCGAAAGTGAAAACGTCAAGGCGTGGTGTAGCCACAGTCAGCGCAGAGGAGATGAAGGTTGTTGGCCAGGCGTGGTTCTGGCCACCCCAGCAGCCCGTTTGGGGCCGTCCATAAATGACGTCACGCGATTTTGGACGATTTTTGACCCCCCCCCCCCCTCGTCACACGGCGTCACAAAAGTCAGCCCCCCCCCCCCCTCAAATATGACGTCACAAAGCTCTGCCCCCCCCCCAAACCATATTTCCATTTTGAAAATACAACATGCTTCAAATCGCTTTAAACTATTGTCATTGTAGTGCGTATTTAATGTGGCGCTGCACTCTGATGTTGTAGGAGTGTTGTTATAACAATTAGTGTTGTTATAACAATTCTATATTCATTTAAAGTTGCGTATTTTGATGTGACGTCACATTTCTCAAACCCCCCTCCCCCGCCCTCGTCACACATCGTCACAAATATCTCACCCCCCACCCCCCCACAAGGTGCGTGACGTCATTTATGGACGGCCACGTTTCGTGTGTCACATGGTCGTTAATAGGAGCTCGCTAATGGAAAACGCCACCATTGGATGATGTTAGGAAACTCGGCGTGAGAGAGTTTCGTGACATCTTTTCGGGGAAGTGTTCTTCTCCCCCCCGTCTTATGAAACCTGAGTGTTTAGAACAGTGGCGGCTCCTGCAAAATCTCTCAGGGGGGGCAAATGTCTGGATGATTGATAAGGATAAGGTCCACCCATGCAATGGATAAATTAACAGCTTAAGCATGTAAAGGCAACTTCACTTCTTTAATATTAATGAAAAATAAAGTGACTCTTACAATACATCTTGTTTGTTTCTATACTCACTATTAATACAATCCACTCAAGTTTCTTTTATTAAAGATTCCACTAGGTGGCGACAAATTATATTGTTGGATGAAACGTGCTTACGTATGATGACGTAAGCACGTTAGGGCGAGCCCTCCCGGAAGCCATAGAGAATACATTGCAGCGCCCCCCGTTCGAAAAAAACCATCTTTCAATGTAAGTCTATGGGGCCACTCGGGGCGATTCTCAACCAGAGTGAAATCGCCCAAAAAGAGGCGGTACTCCACAGAACGTGATATGACGCTGATTGGACTATATCCAGAGGCACAGTGACGGCTAGCGTGACTCTGTGGTTGAATGACATTGGTGGTGCGTCGCCCAATCGCCCTAATGAAGAAACCGCCCCTGGTTTAGAATATAAACAGATGATGTACATAACTCAAAGGCCTCTGCCCATGCTGGTCAATGCCCATAAATGGACACTGCCCAATGCCTCGTGGTCAATACTGCCAGAGCTGGACACTGCCCAGGGTGAAGACTGCCCAGGATGGACAACGCCCATGGTGGACACTGCACAAGATGGACAATGCCTAGGGTGGACACTGCACAAGATGGACAATGCCTAGGGTGGACACAGCCCAGGATGGACAATCCCCATGGTGGAGACTGCCCAGGATGGACACAGCCCAGGGAGGACAATGCCCAGGGTGGACACTGTCCAGGATGGACAATCCTCATTGTGGAGATTGCCCAGAATGGACAACCCCCATGGTGGACACAGCCCAGGATGGACAATCCCCATGGTGGACACTGCCCCGGATGGCCACTAGACAATGTTCATGGTCAATACTTCCATAATGGACAGCGGCCATGGTGGACAATGCCTAGGGTGGACACTGGTAACAGTTGCCACCCCCGGCAGTACGGACCAATCCCACGGGCTTGCAAGTGGATACGGCAAGCGCCACTCTTGAATTCCCAGGGACTCCGCACCGCAGACACAAACATGATGTTGTATTCATTATCGCATCTTGCCGCGCGCTATTCCTGGAATGGCACTGGCGCCCCGTGTCTCTGTGAACTCCATGGCGTTTTGCCAAAGTTAAGAACAAAAATAAATAATATTTTTAAAATACTTTTTTAAAAACACGCTTTAATGAAATGTACCGTACGATTTAACACGTAGCAGGCTTTCGCGACCAATATTATTCATAATCAACGTTTTCGGGTTGAGATCGCGTTGTTTATAAATGTGTCGTAACCCTCCACCACCCGACACGTCCAATCAGCAAAAAAGTGTCACGTTGACAAAAGACAAATAGTTCACCGCTTTAGCCCACCGGTGTGTTGAAGCGTGAAACGTCGCGCCCTTTGAGGTTGCCGTCACATTCGTAACTTACGGCCCCGTCGTCAAACCGCTGGCCGGATGAAGGCTTTAAAACCACGCTGCGTTCGGTCACAAGGGTCAGTTGCTTTGACCGTACGGTCGGCCGGCGAGAGTTGGTAAAACCAAAATTATAATAATCATAAAAAACACAGGACGGGTTCAGATATCATTCGCCGCCGATGCTAACCACGGCCCGAAATAGAACAAACAAAGCTGGTGGAGCAGTGGCAAAACTATTTTGACTTGTTGTTGTTGTTCGTATTGTAAAGTGAGGATATATCCGGGTTGCAGATGGATCACACCTCGTCACGATGATTGGCCCTGACGTAATGGGAAGGTGACATCTGTAAGTAGAGGATTGGTTCTGCTGGCTTTAGCCACAGCCAATGGGGGGACGAGTCAGGGGCGCGGTCCTGGGACCGTACGATGGAGTCTAGAAGATTCCATAGAGGGTAACCAGGATTTTTGGAAAGGTACCACGTGACCCGGGTATTTAAAGGGGTGGAGACGGACAACACGTGATCAGATCTGGAACAAACGGAGGGTGAGGTCACGCTGGAGCGGGGTCCAGGCTGCCACGTGGTCCAGGCTGCCACGTGGTCCAGGCTGCCACGTGGTCCAGGCTGCCACGTGGCCGTGCGTGAAGGAGTAAGATGGGAGGGTTGTGAACGAAAGACAAATAAAGACCGGATTCCAGAAGTCGCTTCCACGACCTTTATTACAGTATGATCACGCTTGTTTACCACCGGGAAGCCTCACCGAGTCTCACAACTCTTTTTCAGGAGCGTCCTGCGAAGTTTTCGCAGTAGGACGGCGATGCTGCTGCCGCTGCTGCCGCTGCTGCGTGCGATGCCAGTCGAGTAACTTCCAGGTAAACTTATCAGCATTCGGATGTTTGGCCCAATATCATTTACATTGTGTGTGTGTGTTTTAGCTGTAGCTAGGTCGACTCAGCTTGAAATGAGTACCTGGTGCGGTGTGTAAACATTGCTACTGGGGGAGACAAAGGCGGACGGGCGTATCGCTGCAATCTGTTGAGGCGGTACGGGGGATCTTTGTCTTTGTGTGTGCCGGGAGTGGGGAGCGGTGGTGCAGCGGTTAGCGCGCTGCGCTTTGAAACCTGCAACCCGAGTTCGATTCCCGCTCACAGCCAACACCAGTGACAATTATCTGAACCGGTCCTCCCATTGGTCGACTCAGCCTCACGTGAGCACCTGGTTGCGGTGTGTAATATATAAAATATATATATATATATATTCTATGGTTCTTTCGGTAAGGACACGTAGATAGAAGATGAAAAAATAATAATAACAATAATAGCAATACAATAGTAAAAATGAAAATAAAGTTAATAAAAATTATAAAAATATCACGACGTTTCGATCGCAACACCAGCGACCGCTTGTGACTTTACCGAAAGAACCGTAGAATATGAATTCCTGCAGTCACGAAAGTTTAAGTCATTAACGATATATTTTTTTCTTACAAATGGCACGAAAAGACAAAAGGAATATGCACGGGGTATGAAACATCTGCTTGGACGCAACAAATGAGTCTGGGTGTGAAATATTGAAAATCCACGCAAGTTCGATAACGCCTTGCGGAGTGGGGCGGTGGCAGATTGCCCGTTTCGCGATCGCTAGGGGGGAGGGGGGGGGCATGAAAGTTCAAATCTCAGTTGGTGGCCGATGTTGCCCCCCAGCATTCCTCTGGGTACTAATTAATTAATTAACTAATTACTTCATTGATAATACGGCCAAGAGACCACTTGACGTGTCGGGCATCGGGGGTCTGTCGTTGCCCCGAGTGCGCATTTGAAATGTTTCTCTTGAATGGAATAATTTTATTATTTCCATTCTACGTGACTTTACCGAAAGAACCAAGAAGATGTTTCTCCTGCACAATATCCCTGCGGCGGCCTGACCCCCCCCCCCCCCCCACACACAATCGACCACCACTACCCCCCCCCACCACCCCCCGCGCCCCCCAAAAAAGGGCTTCCGCCCTCCCCTGAAAGGCGTCACCACGGGCTGTAAGCCGTCGCTTCACCCATCCTCGATTCTAGATTTGAAGCTTTCGTGACTGCAAGGATTCATACTCTTGGGTTTTTTCGGTAAAGTCACGTAGGTAAATTTTTTTTAAATAAAATAAATAAAAGTAAAATAAAATAAAAATCACGACGTTTCGGAGGCAACACAAGCTTCCGTCTTCAGGTGGAACCTTCACAGCCCGGCAGCTGTATCAAGTAAATGAGAAATTCCAAGAGCTCCAAGCCTGGGGTGTGTCATTCAGACGCTGTCTTCTCGACAGACCTGTTCTTCACCTGAAGACGGCTGCTTGCATTGTGGCCGAAACGTCGTGAGAATTATTTTATTATGTTTTATTTTTATTATTTTATTATTTCCCTTCTACATGACTTTACTGAAAGAACCAAGAAGAAGATCCAACCCCGTATATATACTGGTTGAGGGGGGAGGAGCCAGGACAGGCCCCCTTTTTATTATTTTTATTATAATTTTACTTTTATTAATTAATATTTTTTTACCTACGTGACTTTACCGAAAAAAACCCAAGCATACCATCCCCGATTCCCACCGACGTCCCTCGCGTCACGTGACCCTCACCCCCGTCGCCGCCCGCCGCTGTTCTGTCCGTCCGTCCAAGGTGCGTGACGGGCGCCGGACGTGGGCGGCGCCACCATGAGCTGGGCATTCCTGACTCGTCTGCTCGAGGAGGTGCACCACCACTCCACCTTCGTGGGCAAGCTGTGGCTCACGGCCCTGGTGGTGCTGCGCGTCGTGCTGGCGGCCGTCGGAGGCGAGACCATCTACTACGACGAGCAGAGCAAGTTCGTGTGCAACACGGGCCAGCCGGGCTGCGAGAACGTCTGCTACGACGCCTTCGCGCCGCTCTCGCATGCCCGCTTCTGGGTGCTCCAGATCATCTTCGTGTCCTCGCCGTCGCTCCTCTACCTGGCCTTCGCCGCCCACAAGGTGGCCAAACGGCCGGGCCACGGGCGGTGCCGTCGCGGCGGCGGCGGCGGCGGCGGCCACGGACAGAGCCGCGGCGCCCGCAGGGGCCTCATGATCCACCGAGGGCAGAACCACTTCCTGGAGGAGGGCGAGAGCAACTTGGAGGAGGAGCCCATGATATTCGACGATGCCGTGGGCCGGCAGAGGCACCGGCCCGACAGGGAGCACCGCCACGACGGGCGGCGGAGGATCAGGGAGGAGGGCCTCATGGGCATATACGTCTTCCAGCTCATCTCCCGGACCGCGCTGGAGGGCGCCTTCCTGGCGGGCCAGTACTTCCTGTACGGCTTCGAGGTGGCGGCGCGGTTCGCGTGCGGCCGGCCGCCGTGCCCGCACGTGGTCGACTGCTTCGTGTCGCGCCCCACCGAGAAGACCGTCTTTTTGTTCGTCATGTACGGCGTCAGCTGCCTGTGCCTGGCGCTCAACGTGTGCGAGATGCTGCACCTGGGCGCGGGCACCGTCCGCGACGCGCTGGCCCGGAAGGACCGGGGCTCGCAGACTGCGCCGCGCGGCTCCCCCGAGCCGGCGTGCGGCCGCGAGTCCGGCGAGGAGATGCCCACGGCGCCGTCGCTGCTCCAGTTCGAGCTGCGGCCCATTTCCAAGGCCTCGCAGACGCCCGAGGGCCTCGCCGCCGCCGCCGCGGCCAAGCGGCCCAACGGCGTCGCGGAGCCGAGGCGGGGTGGCGGCGCCGACGTGCCGGACGTCTCCCCGCCGCGGAAAAACCTCGCGGAGGGCGGCGGCGGCGGCGTCGGCGCGGGGGGCCGTCCGAGCCTGCCGGTGGCCGGGGCCGAGCCGGCGGCTGCGGCTGCGGTGGGCGGGGACGGGATGAGGGGTTCGGACAGCGGCGCCGGTTCGAGCGGCACGGCGGACGAGAACGTGGGCGGCGGGGCGGGGTCCAGCGCGATGGAGCAGAACGTGGCCAACGCCCGGCACGAGCGGACCGCGACGACGCACCAGGCCCCCTCCGAGTCGGACAAGGGGGGCAGCACGAGCAGCAAGCAGAACAGCACCCGGTTGGCCGTGTGGATATGACGTCGCTTTTGTATCGCTGCTGCTGCTGCCGTCGTCGTCGTTACGAATTCGCGTTAGCAGCACGAACGTGCCGACGGAGGGCTGCCCCAATTTGGCTACGCTCGCCGGACGAGGGCCCGGCTCTTGGCACGAGCGCGAGCTGCGGGCGTCCTGATGGGAGTGGGAACGACCCGCTCTTCAGGCAGCTTCCCGGGTGGGACAAAGCGGCGCTGACCGGGGCAGGCAGGCGGCCGTCGCTGCGCGTCGCCGGAGGCGGCTTTCGACGCGACCGCTTCGCCAACGCGGAATTTGCCAGACGGTGCAGCTGAATGCAAAAACAACCTCCTGCTGCGTTGAGTAGCGGGGAGGTGCGGGGGCAGAATGCACCGCTAACGTACGCCATCGGCAGGGGAAAGGAAAACACGTGATTCGTGCGTCCATTCGACAGCGCCGAGTTCGTCAACTTTCCGCTTAAATTCTCGCCCCGCCAGTTTTCGCGAAGCCCCACTTGTAAAGTGTGCAGCCCCCACCCAGACGATCTTGCGTTGATCGTCTGTCGTCCTTCCCTCGCACCACTGATTGGCACGGTGGGCTACGTACGGTGCGAAAGAAGTCCCACAGACGTACGTACAGACTCTTAGTAAAACAATTAAATTAAAATTAATGCAAATAAAATATTCTTTTATTTTTATTAAGTTTTTATTTCATTTTTTTACCTACGTGACTTTACCGAAAAAACTAAGAGTATGAATCCTTGCAGTCACGAAAGCTTCAAATCTAGAAGTACGTACAGACGTCAAGGCGGCCAGCCCAAATCTCGCAGCCCCTGCGCTGAATGCGATGATGTTTCTCTGAATCGCCCGCCCGCTGTGCATTTGACTGCACAGCCATTTCCACGACAAGCCTACCCTGCCACGCAAAAACATAAAACGATGTCTCTAGACAATGCATTTAAACGTTCGAATAAGCCTGAATGCAATAAAGCCATGTGTACATATGTGTATATCGTTCAAGCAGAGTGTTGTGTGTTTCGCTGCGTGTAAACCGGTGTCTGACCCACCAGGGTCACCTTTGAGTAAAATTCAGATGTCAGCTGCCGCATCCTTTACCAATTAACTATTCATGAAGCCACAAAGGATAAAAAATATATATATTAATAATTCCCCCCCTTCCACCCCAACCCCCCACCTTTAAGGCAATACGCATTCCCGCTGTCACGTATAAAAAGCCTTAACGGGATGTTTGGGGCAAGCGCCGTTAGCGAGAAACAGCAGCACCGACGAATGACATCACAGCGCACGAGCGTGGGGTACGACCAACACAACGCCCGGGCTACCTTCATGTCACGAGTACCACACCGGCGTTTGCACACGGCACCAGGTGCGCAACACGCAACACGCGCACGTCTGCAACTACGGGGGCCCGTAGAATGCACACCAAATTCTACGACAGGTCACGATACACCCGGCAAAGGGGTATCAACGAGGTTCTCCCGCAGACAATGCGAGTCTAACGCTCTCCCTCCGGCGCGGTCTTTCCGGGGGTCCGTTACGCCGAGTTGTGTCGGCACCGTGTCCGACGTTTCGCTCCGCGTGCTGGGATGCTTCGTCGGCAAACGGAGGACACCGGGCAAGAACGACGATGCGCTGTGACCCGATGGCACGTTGGGAGGAGCTGTACAGGACAAGCGCGGGAGGGAATAAACGCTCTAAGGCAGGGGTGGGGAACGCCGGGCCGTGGGCTGTACGAGGCCCGCGAAATCATTTGGTGTGGCCCCTGCCAAGGCAACCGCAGGCGAGACTCGAAGTTCAATAAATCTAGGAGCAAAAGCAGTTGCGAGTAGCAGCAACATCATCAATACCAGCTAACATCACACGCCTCGCCAAAGAGAAGCAGTTCCAGCCCATCACATTAGGGGTGAGTTGATTAAATGTTTGGGCAAATATAACCGGCAAATTTTTAAGTTGATAATTTTGTATGATCCGCGAATGATATTATAGATATCCAAATGGCCCTTGGCTGAAAAAATGTTTCCCACACCTGCTCTAAGGAGTCCCACGCACGCTCACTCACTCTCTCTCTCTCTCCCCGCATTCCCATTCTCAAAATGTTTCGACCCTTCCCTCGCCTGAATGTGAACGTAGATGTCATCAGGGTGGTGCCGCAGACGGACGAGGTTTTTTGTGAAAGAGAAAAAAATGTTTGCCAAACAAAGGTATCCCATGATGTAGCGCTGCTCAACCTGAGCTCTGAATGCTCTGATACGTGTGACATTGTCTCTGTATTAATTCTAGATTTGAAGTTTTCGTGACTGCAAGGATCCATACTCTTTGGTTCTTTCGGTAAAGTCACGTAGGTGAATAATAAAAATGATGATTAAAATAATAAAATGAAAATAACTAAATTAAATCACGACGTTTCGGAGGCAACACAAGCTTCCGTCATCAGGTGGAACAGCCACAGCAAAATGACTACAGCAAAATTACTGCAGTAATTACTACAGTATTTATATTATCAAGAGTTTTTTGCATGTTCGCCACAAGTATTGTGTGGTTAATGCAGACTTGATTCCATGCAAGAGGTATCCATTTCTAGATTTGAAGCTTTCGTGACTGCAAGGATTCATATTCTTAGGCTTTTCGGTAAAGTCACGTAGGTAAAAACATTTAAATTAATAAAAGTAAAATAAAACAAAATAAAAAATTCACGACGTTTCGGAAGCAACACAAGCCTCCGTCTTCAGGTGGAACCGTCACAGCCACGACAGCTGTATCAAGTAAATGCGAGATCACAAGAAATGCCACCCCGTATATATAATGGTTGAGGGGGGGAAGGGCCAGGAACGGCACACTTTTTAAATCCTTTATATTAAGTTCGCTTGCGTGCTTGCTTGCTTGCTTACGACCGTGCAAATCTTTCGGTCGTTTTTTAACCCACTTCCCGTGATCCAATCGAGCTGACATTTTGCACACAGACTCGTTGTGCGAGACAATTAATGTTCGTGAAAAAGAATTTCCAAAATTTTACACTGTTTAGGGAAAACAAATTAAATATTTAATTACCAATTTCTTAATACTGGCAGACAATCATCTGACCCATAGGTGGCAGCCATCTCAAGCCAGAGGACGAGAGGACTCTAGCTGCCACGCATATAAAGGATTTATAGTGAAAAACTTTGTTTTTACGGGTTATACTTATTTATTAATATGGTAAGGTGAGGCTTAAGACCAAGAGTAGACTGCATAACAAAGGACTGAGCCTTTGTTATGGACAGAGGTGCGGTTTGTAACTAACACCTAGCATACTTTTATTAATTTAAATTTTTTTACCTACGTGACTTTACCGAAAAACCTAAGAATATGTATCCATTTGGTCTTTGAACATCTTCATGCCACTTGTTTTAATTTCCACAAAAGGTAAAACCCATTCCTATTTTTCATCCTTCGATAGTGGCAAAAAAGTTCCATGACACGGAGGAGACTTTAGCTGTCTGCAGTAAAATTGGAGCCCACAGATGCCCTCCTGAATGCGCGATCACACTTCGCCCCGACTCCCATTACCCGTGGGAGCTGCAGGGCACGCGGGAAACCTCCAAATTACACTTCCCCATTTTTCGTCCCGCTAGATAAGTGGAGTAATTTTGCGGATAACCCGGCAGATGATAGGATCCACGAATGTTCGTCCCTTCCCCACCCTCCACATCGCATGGCATCGCCGTGAATGAGAGGATGAAGAGATTATTTCTTTTTCTTCTTGGTTCTTTCGGTGAAGTGACGTAGAAGGGAAATAATAAAATAATAAAAATAAAACAATAATAAAAATAAAACATAATAAAATAAATATTTTTGTGAGAATTATTTTATTTGATTGCTTTATTTTTTTATTTTATCTTTTCCCTTCTACGTGACTTTACCGAAATAACCAAAAAGATGAATCCCTGCAGTCACGAAAGCTTTAAATCGAAATTATTTATTTTGTTCTATCTTGCTCTTAACATTCTCAACAACGACGATGCATCACGAAGGATTTCTGGTAGGGCACGATGCACGTTGTTTTTGCGTCCAACTATGACCCACTCCTCACAACAACAACAACAACAATGCCTCTTCTTTGTTCTTTCGGTAAAGTCACGTAGAATGGAAATAATAAAATAATAAAAATAATACATAATAAAATAATTCTCACGACGTTTCGGCCACAACGTAAGCAGACGTCCTCAGGTGGAGAACAGGTCTGTCGAGAAGACAGCGTCTGAATGACACACCCCAGGCTTGGAGCGTCTATTTAACCAAGAAGATGAATCCCTGCAGTCACGAAAGCTTTAAATCGAAACAAAAATGCCCCTTGCCGAGAGACATCCGCAAGCTCGCCAGCATCGACGGTTCAAGCAAGCCTGACTCAGTGAGCTGACGAGGCAACGATTGTCGAAACCGGTCCAGAGTTTGTTTTAAAAAAAGCGAACGCGACCCAAGAGATGCACTCTCCCAGAAGGCTCGTATGGCCGATGGGTTGTTAACAAACAAACAAAAAACCTGCTTCTTCTTCGGTGGAAAGACAAGTATGGGAAGGACGGCGTTATTTATTGGGAATAGAGAGGATTTATTTTTATCCACCCGGAATTGATGAACGGTGTCACATGAAGTTTTGCATTACACCAGATGGCCTTGACGCTGGATGGCCAGGCCGTAAGCAAGTTGCCAATGCACGCACGGTGGCGAGTGGGAATGAGATACAGCGCCGCTTGCTAGGATGGGGAAAAAAATATCTGACTGTTGCAAAGCTGTTAAAAGTGTCATTTCAAAAAAATATCTAAAAAAAATTAACCCGTAAAAACAAAGTTTTTCACTATAAATCCTTTATATGCGTGGCGGCTAAAGTCGTCTCGTCCTCTGGCTTGAGATGGCTGCCACCTATGGATCAGATGATTGCCTGCCACCATTAAGCAATTGGTAATTAAATATAATAATTTTTTTCCTAAAAAGTGTACAATTTTAGAAAAAAATGTTCACGAAAATAAATTG